CATTCATACAACGAAAAAAAAAAAAGGTTTAAAATAATATCCCTTTAATTTTCTAGGATTGATTTTATAATACGTAAAGAAGCTTTGAGCGTCGCGTTCATACGACGTACATTTTGGATACTGGGTATTTTCATGTCCGAAGCATTTTTGAAGGGATAAAACAGATAAATGTACGTTTTTATTTTGCTCTGACATGCGCTTTGACATTCGTAACCGATTCATCATTTTTGTGTAGTTTTATTGTTAGGAATACAAACAATGCTTAGAACCGATTTGGCAGGAAAATACATAATAATACTAATCCAGCTGGAAAATATTTGATACTAATACAAAAAATGTTTTCAAATTTGTTTTGACATTAGAGGGCCCTTGGAGAATAATGGAACCCAAACACCGTCTTTTAAAATGTTCCTGGAGATCGTGATGTCAAGGTTAGGTCCCAGTGTATGGGAAACAAAACCCGGACCATCAGATCCGAGGATGAACCAAGACACCGTGTCCACCGTGCCCCCCCTGGCCGCCCTCTTCAGCCTCTTGTTGCATGTCACCGCTTTCCAGAACTTACGTGGGATTTACTGAACATGGTTTTATTACTGTTCATGATAAATGTCTTTGAGTTTCCCATGTGAAAGTCTGACTTGTAGTCGTGCTTTGGGTCGGTCATCTCTCAGAGGCAATTACGTTGTAATATTTACAATGTCTTTAAATGTCAATCCTAAAGATTGACACTTTTACAGTTTGTTCTTATTTTGTTGGTAAAATTCAGGTTTCCAGTCAGTGATTTCTCTTGCGATAGTTGCAAAACAATATTGTTACCATGTGATAATGAGATGCTGCTCGGAGCCTGCTGCCGACCGCTCTGTGTAACATCTGCCGGAGTTCTGCGAGACTCGGAAAGCTGCAATATATGGAATGCAGATTGTTAGATGAAAACAAATATGAAATAAATTAAAGCTGAACTCCAGGCAAGCGGCTAAATACGCAGATGAAATACGTATGTGAGCTGCTTGACCTGCTGTAGGATTTGTATGGCATTTGTGTCCATTCAGTCCTGAGATTTATAAAGCTCTGCACAATGGCACAGTCCTGTCTGGCAGGGCAGGAGACATGATTTTTTTCTCAGCTGCAGTTCAGTAAGGCTTGCAGGTCTTGTCCTTTCCCCAGCCTGTGACTGGCCAGTGTAGCAGAAGCGGAGGACTGATGAAGTAATCTCTGTCACTCTGTTCTCTATCGTCATGTTCATTGTTAGCACAACTGGTTGGTTCCTTATGCTGCTGTAATCAAAGAAAGCATCAGACCGAGCACCTGATCGTCTGGCTGTTCCTAAATGCCATTCTATAGAACCAGGGGTTTCCCTAGCCTATTTGCTGCCTGAGGCAGGAATGGAGGGGCCCCTGAGGGTAGTGCACCCTATGGTGGAGAGCGAGTCCTCTGCATCATCTGCCTGACTCTGACTGATATCATGCCCAGTGATGTCACTGGTTGCCACTAGCTGGGCAGGACGCCTGCCAGAGTGCCCCAGGTTGCTAAGAGCTTGGCAGGATGTGTATAACATTTACACATCTCCATGCCCAGCTCTTGGCAACTTTGGATGATCTGGCCGTAAAGGGGTGGCACACTGCAAACATTATGCTCCGCTCTGCCCCCACGTGACCCAAAGAGATGCCGCCTGAGGCAACAGCCTCATTAACGGGATTGCCCTGCCTAGAGCCAGCGACCTGGAGCAGCCAGGGTTCCCAGATCTTCCGTTCCAGTCAAGCTTTGTTTAACCCTGATGAAGTGGTCCTTTGGAATTCAGGAAACACATTGGCTTTTGTTTCCCCCCATTATTACCAAGACACAATAACTTTAGACACATAGACTTTATCTAGACTGCCAACCTTACTTTGGTAGTCCCCGAACCTACAAAACTTGAGGCCATCAGTGAAAGTTAAGTGACCAGTGCTCTGCCATTGCATACAATGAATTAAACTCCTGACTCAAAGCAATAAGCTTCTCCTCTGTTGTTCCAATCCCAGTGCTTTTAAAGACCACCTCAGCACCCCCGTCCATCCCCTTAGAGATCCTGGCTGATGGCAATATGGCACAATGACCCTGGTGCAGGGAGCCTTTATTACTTTTTATGCTCGTATTGTTCTGGCTAAAAGCCCTGTTATTATTCTAGCTCCGCGGTAATGTATTTAGGATGGAAGAAAACAAAATGTTTCGCCGTGCGTTTAGCTTAATCTCTTTAGTCACATCCAATAAAATCGCAATCGCTCTACAGCAAACCACTGATACAAGTAAATTAGGTAAACGTGCCTCATTTCCAGCTGTGGGGATAGAGCGGTTTAAAGTGAAACGCGGCGTTTGTTTAAAGTGCACCCCTACGGTATTAACGAACCTGGTGCTGTTGTGGAGAAAGATGAAGGAAATAGACATTCGGGTTCTACTTTAGTTTAACAGATCTGTTATTCTCGTGAAGTTGGTAAAAGGCCCCTTACTTAAATAGGAATTCCAGGAGTTTAGAAAACTTGCCCTTTGCAGTGGGGTTTCCCCTGCACTGCATGGGTTAAGTGTTTGTTTTGTCTAAGGGTCTCAAGTAAAGCAGATATATTCATCTGATCCTCGGTCCTGCCGGTCTCCTAGCCCGGTCCCTGCAGCCTCTTGTCCTCTGGGCTCCGACGGTCCAAGGACTGCTGACGTTTCACTTCTTATTGACTTGCATTAGGTGTGAGGACACCAAGGGACCATTACACTGCTGGAGCGGAGGGGGTGAGTGCCGACCGCCGAGGATCAGGTGGGCAGATCTACTTTATTTGAGCCCCCCTAGACAAAATGAGCTCTCAAATTACCGGAGTTCTGCTTTCAAAAAAAAAAACAACATCTTTCATTTACCCAAAATGGATCAATTATCAGGTTTAAGTTGCAGGTTCCTTAAAGCGACTCTACTGCTAAATTAAAAATTCCAAGGAAGGATCAGTGCAGACAGTAAATATTAGGGATGCAACAATACTAGTATTGGTGCCGATACCGAGTATTTGGGTGAGTACTCGTACTCGGCCAAATGCTCCGATACCTTCCCCAATACTGGAACATCCGGTCAGAGGGAGACTTCCTCTGACCAGCAGTGCCACAGGGGAACATGTAGCCAGTGTCCTGTACGATCTGGTTGCTGGGCGGTGACTAATGACCCACCTCCCGGGTTCCTGAATTGGCCAGTAAGCCGGCTCTATGCTGATTGGCTTGGATGCAGGCTTCTCGGCCAATCAGCATCAAGCCCGTTGAACGCCCACCTCCATGCTGATTGGCCGGGAAGCTGGCTTCCCGGCCAATCAGGAAGCTGCGGGGGGGCGGGTCATTACTCGTTGCCCAGCTTCCTGATTGGCTGGGAAGCCGGTTTCCCGGCCAAGCACAATCAAGCCAGGCAAACAAAATGGAGTCAGCTTCTCTGGCAATCAGATTGCCTGGAAAACCGGCTCCATGCCAGCGGAAGCACCGGTATCGGAGAGCACCGGAAGCAAAATATCGGTACTCTTACTTGATACCGAAAAACTGGTAACGGTGCATCCCTAGTAAATACTCACTTTTCCTCTTAGAATTCCGACACTTCCTGTAGTGTCGGAATTCAGGGTGGTAAACCTCTTGTAAATTCCATGTGGGTCTGTGTCTGAGCTTGCTTACAGGGATAATGACTGTCTCCTCTTCCCCACATGAGCCACCTAGACCCAACGTCAGCATCATGGCTGGAAGGGGAGATGGTCACATGCTCATGCATCCCCGGAGGTACAGATGTACAGGTGAAACTCGAATAATTAGAATATCGTGCAAAGTTCATTTATTTCACTAATGCAACTTAAAAGGTGAAACTAATATATGAGAGAGACTCATTACATGCAAAGCAAGATAATTCAAGCCGTGATTTGTCATCATTTTGATGATTATGGCTTACAGCTCAGGAAAACCCCAAGAACCCCAAATCCACAACCTCAAAAAAGTAGATTATTACATGCAATCAATAAAACAAGGATTGTGCATAGAACAATATCGGACCTCTGAAAAGTACAAGCATGCATATGTACTCAGTACTTGGTTTGGGCCCCTTTTGCAGCACTTACTGCAATTACTTTTGCACGATATTCTAATTATTTGAGTTTCACCTGTATTTATAAGAGCTCCCACAGACAAATGGAGCACCAGGGCAGCATGAAGGTATGTATCAGCAGATGTCATCTGCACCAAAATGCAAGTTCTGCTTACCAAGTACTGTAGTGGCCTCCTTCTCCCTGTTAAAAATGCCACTTTAAAAAAAAAGCAGCTGACCAAAGTTAAAAAAATATACTTGCTTTGCACCGGGCTTATGCCAAGGAGAGGGCGAGTCCATGGTCCACTGAGAACAAGGAGGATCTCGAATGTTGTTAGAAGGTTCTCCCGCACAATGCAAGAAAGATTTTGGATCTGCAGAGTTCCCAAGATCTCCCGTAAAGGACCGTGACGTCACCCACCACTAAGTGCCCTGGCCATAAGCTGAGGGTAGAAGATGCATATTTACATGGCGGTGGTGGGGGTCACAATTTAGTAAGTGGCTCTTGTGTTTTGGAGCAGATGACCTCCACTGATACAAACCCTATAAGAGCAGTTCGGTCTTCTCTAAGAAGGGAACGTTTTAATCGGTTGTATTGTGATTCAAAGAGCTCCTCATAGTACTAAAAGCTTTTATTCCATAATGACTCACTCCGCCATCTTTGCCTTTTGTATAACGAAGAATATATAAAACCTCATTCAGTACATGTCTGTATAGTCAGGGCTTTCACTCTGTAAGTGCAGATGTTTCCTGAGAGCTCAGTGAAGAGGAAGATGGGATCCGACCACTCTTCTAACTTACTACTTGACCTAAAAAAACAATCCTAAATAACGAATTCCGACACGCACGTTTGACTCGGAGACGTTCGCTGATCTGCAGTCTGATTCTTTCAGCCCAGGCGGCCCTTTTCCTGATACGTTTGCTTTTGTTTTCATAGCTGCCGAAATCATTAAAGAAATCGAGAAGAGCGAGAAGGTTCGTTCAAGTCTGGAGGCCAAACAGGAAAGTGTGAGTACTGGAGCTGATACCAACTTGTATAACTCTGACATATTCCACTGCGTTGTACAGAGAACACTGAGCCAGTCACATCAGTCTCTGCACCAGAGGAGCTGACACTCTAATTTCCCCCCACAGTCACACACTGTTACTGTACATTAATATAGCACTGACATATTTGGCAGAGCTGTACAGAGAACCTAGAACCATTTAAATGAGTCTCTGCACCAGAGGAGCTTACACTCTAATGTCCCAACCACAGTCACATACTATTATACATATGATATAGCTCTGACATTCCGTAGGGCTGTACAAAGAGCATTGAGCCGGTCACATCAGTCGCTGCACCAGAGGAGCTTACACTCTGTCCCCCCCCCCCCCC